AACCTCCGCTTTCGAAGCTGTGGGGAGCAATGCTGCGCTTGGCAGTGGTGCTTCTCGGCATGATGGTGGGCTGGGGCTCAGAACTTTGTCTCAATGACGGCGTGCCAGAAAGCCAGCGAGAGTACATCCAGGAACAGGGGGTTGGATAAAGCATCATGCATAAAGCATCAGGAAGCTAACACGGAAGCTAACATAGAAATGCGCCGTTTGCTTGGAAACCCATGGCTGTTCATGCAATGGATTGTGTGTGCTGCCTTCAGGATGATGCCGGCAACAACATTCACATCGGAGTGTTCGAAATGGCTTGGGCATCGTCCGCTCTTCTCAGCCAGATGACAGCGCTGATGATCCGCGAGGTGCTTGGTTTCCATGCTGAGGTCGATCCTACAGTGGGTGGGAATGGAGCTTCTCCAGTCTTCGCTTTGGCAGGATGTACCGACTTCAACGACAAAGACAACAGGGTCTGCGGCGTCCAAGAAACGACGATCCATGTGAGCGTGGACTCTTGGATTGGAAGCTATGCTTCCACTCAGAATCAGTTCGCCAAGGAGTATCCAAGACTTGCGGCGGAGGATTTAGGAAGCATGGGGTATGCAGGAGAAGAATCCATGTATGTAAGCCGAGCGATTCTCCAAGCTGCCTACAGCGAATCGGGTCTCGCCCTGGATTTCTACAAGAGCTACTGAACGGTCGTTTAACAGTGCTTTTATCTTTAAAGCTTGGTTGTTGGATGTTGTTGGGGTTTGTTGGGGTTTGAATAGAACTTGTTGCGACGTGCTTAGTTGATTTGTTAGTTGACTTAGACTTTGTTGACTCGTCCTTTTTCCAAAGTCTTTCGGGGGTCTCAAAGCGCACGCGTATGCCACACGCATGATTTTATATTCATTGTCCAGACCTGTTCATTTTGATTTGCCGAGTTTGACCCTGTTTCATCCTGTTTGACCGTTTGAGGCTACAACACGACGCATCATGATCCGAAGAAGCTGGGCTGAACAGCTTCTGAGTGCTAGCCTCCTCTCAGTTGTTGACTGATTTCGCCGATCTCCAAAAGCGAAGCGAGAACTCTTCTGCCACCTTGACCTTCTGGTAACATGGGTTTTGAATAAACTGTCCTAAACTTCCCAAGGGGTCGAGCTGCTATATATTGTCTCATATTGTCTCCTACTCGAACACCGCACCTAGGAAATACTTCGACTCCATTCATGGTGTGGACCTGTCAGAATTGGCCAAGTGCAATGAGACGGATATGAGCAATCCGAGTCGAATGGGAGACTATGCCCGATATTCAGGTGACTATGACGGGGTTGTAAACCAAACAGACGGTTCATTTGCTGCTAAGTGTGATGCAAACAACCGCTGGTGGTTTGCTCCCGCATGTCGTCACAATTCCTCAGCATGTATCCCTGTCTTCACGGCCGGGACCGGTTGGAAGGTGCAGGCCATGATGCAGTGGTCAACTGCATATGGAATTCCAGCTGCCATTGCAGTCTCGGGTGGGTGGTCTTTGTTCGTGAAGCACGTGCAGACTTTCCGAGCTCTTCACTACTGGTGGGTTCCAGATTCGACCTTCATCGACATGTTGCCCGAGCAGTTGATTTTTGCCCGGCACAGTGCCAACGAATGGCTCGCTGGAGACAAGAAGACCGGAGGCCTTGGAAGCTATGTGTCCAAGATGGTGAGCAACAACTTACGGTCCAAGGCTGGCAGAGTGCGAGAGTTTCTTTGCAGTGAGTTTTTGCTTGGCAATGTTTTCGATGTCAGCCATTTTTTACAAGTTATGCTAGAACTTGAAGCAATTCTGACAGCAAGGAGGTCCAGTTGGGAGTTCCTTCTTAGGTCTCAAACATGTTCTCCCACTTGCTTCGGTTTGGCCTGTGAACCCACCGGATTTGCGTTTGTCCTATTGAATTCTCCGCTGTTGTTGTTGTTGTCGCATCTCTTGAGAAAGTTTCATGAGTATGAATATTATGGATCCCAGACTGTCTGAGAGACACGTACGTATGTCTTGAACCCATGCTCTGAGGTTCGTCTCCAACATGAATTTCGAGCTACCAGAAATCCAAAATCTTCTTTTGGAGTACAAGGAGTCTGGGTCAGCCCTCAATGTTTCTTGCAAGTGGATGCAAGACAATCGAGCCAGGCGAGCGGGAGCGGCTGGGAGCCGCCTGGGCTGATGGTTTCTCCGGCTTCTAGAGCTGGCCAATTGTTGTTGGGTAGATGTTGCAACCTAGAACTAGAACCTGAGTGACCTGGTTTTAGGGTACTAAAGATCGAACATATGGCATATCATATGGTCTAATAAGTCTAATATTGAATTCATGAACACACGGCAGATGGGCTCATTTCACGGGGTTTGCACAGATTTTTTGGTTCAACCTTCGCACATCTAAACTTGAGACGACATGCAGAGTTGAGGAGTTGAGGAAACGTCATGCTGAATGACAATGAAACGACTGCCGTTTAAGATGTTTAAGCTGGTTTCTTTGGCTTTCCCTGGAACCAGGTGGTCGGCCTGGAAACCAAAGTTGACCAGCTGCTACGAAGGCTTTGGATTGGTTGACGCCTCCGGAGCTTTTGTCCCCAACAGGACACTGGCCGTTGGATGCGGCCTGTGCCAGGCAGGAACTGCATCTGAGGAGCTCATTGATGATGAGGGAAGGACCTTCCAATGCAAACAATGCCCTCCTGGCTACAGTCAATCAAACACTTACTCCACCCAATGTGAGCCGTGTCCAAAGGGCACTTCAGCCAGCAGTTTTGGGAGCACAACGTGCACTCCATGCGATGAAGGAGACTATCAACCAGATACAGCTCAGACCTCGTGCATCTCTTGTGGTGCTTCCCGAACGACCCTGTTGTTGGGTGCATCATCTCTCGCAGATTGTGTGTGCCAGGCGGGGAAAATCGAGCAGGATTCCACTTGCATGGATTGCAATGAGGAAAGCATGCATTGTCCAAAAGGAAGCACTATTGCAAAGCTAGAAGCAGCTTCCGGAACCACGGACTTGAAGGGTCCCTACGTGAAGAGGGGCTTCTTCAGTGAGTTAGATGTGCTTGAGCAAATTTTGATCCTTGTAACATAGCATACTCACCAGACAAGTTGTATCAGTCTTGGCTCCGAGGTGTTGCTTGAGGTATTTGTTTGTTTTCGGATGTTTTCCAGTTTGAGTGTACAGATCAAAGAAAGGCAATCCAGAAGCACCTCTTGACACTTACAAATGCGCTGCGGAGCTCTATTGTCCCGGTGGTTCTCCAGGTGTTTGCTTCGGAGACCGTGAAGGTTTGACTTGTGGTGACTGCGCTGATGGGCATTATTGGGCTTCCAACAAATGCGAACCCTGTGGAGCTGTGCCAGCTGCATGGGCTTTCTCCGTGACAATGGTCGTGGTTGGAGTCTGTGGCTCTTACTATATGCTAACATCGAGCTATACAGCGAAGGCCAGTGTGATGATGTCCACCACCGCAGCCTTGGGAATGCTAGTGGCCTTATTCCAGAATTTGGGTGTTTTGAACACAGTCGCTGTTCAGTGGCCAGATGGCTTGCGAGATATCCTGAACTTTGCCTCAGTTTTTACTTTCAACCTTGATGCTCTTGGCTTTAGTTGTGCTGCAGGAGGCAATGTGGCCCGCTATGTGAGCACAGCCTCGTTCTTTTGGGTAGTGTTTCTTGCGCTGCCCACAGTTGGTTTGCTCACGAACTTCATTCCAATTCTGAAGCGCCGAAAGCTAGCGTGGGAGAAGAACAAGACCATCAGTACGACGGGGCAATTCTTGCAGGTCGGCTTCACAACCATGTGCAATGTCGGCCTCATGCCGTTCATGTGCTATCGACATCCTACCGGTCAATCGAGCATCTTGAAGTACCCGAATGTCTTCTGCCGCACTGATGACCACGCGCTTTGAAGAGAAACAGTCAGCTTTTTGACATGGCGGGTCAAAACTGGGGGACCTTGGTTCGGTTCTGATGAGTTCCAAGTTGCGGAACTTCAAGCCACATGCCATGTGGTTCACTTGCACACCGTTGCACACCACTCTTTTGGTATCGATAAACCATAGAAACATATAGAAACCATAATTGAGTATTTCCATCGAATATGACAAGCCACTTAGGTGATCATGCGGGTTTTTGGAGCTTTGGTGATCTTGTTGGCCTTCACGTTCTTCTCAGCAGCTTGCTATGCGGCCTATCAAGCGCCCAGGTGGTCTGGCAAACCAAGGCCTGGTGGTGTGACTCTGCCAATGCGACCCTTTACTGGCACCTTATTAATACTCCATCAGTGATGCCTCTGATGATGACATGTCTTTAAAGCTAGATCATTCAATGCTTTTGCTGGTGAACTGCTGCGCTTGAGCCAGAGATTCATTCTCCCACGACCATGCTGAGGGGTATTTGTTGAGCTTAGTTGCTAGCCAGGCTGGCGGCCATTCGCTTCTTGATCTTCCGCTTCCGGCCCAACGTATGGTATTTTGGCTTGGTCCTCTTGGCTCGAGGACCCTTGCTGTCCATGCCAGGTGTGATCGCGACCAACATGCCCAGCTTGTAACTCGGGTGCACAATGAAGTCGTTGGGATTTACGGGCGCCGTACTTTGGGTGTTTGAGCACGATAGGACATGTCATGAAATTTCCGCCCCCCGATCTCGCAAGTGAAACCCGAAGGGGAAGGCTGTGCGGCTCAGGCAACTTACGCTGATGCACATGATTCTGCTTGGATCTCTTTGCCTTCAATTGTGGTTCCTGCCATGGAAATCCCCAATCCTGAATCTGGTCGATGGAGTCTCAGTGTCGCTCCTCGTGATGCTTTTGGCAGGGTCGCTTGGATATGCCGACAGCAGCGGGGAAGACGCTGCACGTGTTCTATCTCTCTTCGGCACCGTCATCTCCTCTTTGATGGTCGTCATCCTCGGAGGGATGGTGATGCTTGGCATGACCGCTCTCATCTACCGCTCGGCGCTGGGCAGTTCAAAGGAATTGCGCATCATGAACCTGGGCAAGGTCCCACAAGAGAAGGATGTCTTTCAAAGTCTCCTGGACGTGGCGACTTTCCTCAAGGAAGATGGACAAGGCAAGGAGGCGACCTTCATCAAGGACTTGAGCAATCTCTCAACATATGACATTGGCACCATCACTCGTGCGATCCACATTTTGGCTGATGACTTGAATATGGTCGTTAGCCAGAACGGCAGCATGCGCAAGAGCTCCTCCCGGCGCATCGCGACCGGAACACGCACCTTCAGGACTCAGGGCCTTGAAGGAACATGTGGGCACCAAAAACTAAAACCAAACGGAAGATACGCTAATAGTCGTGGGGAGTAGCTAGAGTGCAGGGGGTGGTTTTGGACCGTTGCACACCCTGTTGAACCACGTTTCTTGCGAGTATTCCCAAACAGGACTCTTTTCGGAACTTGATCTTAAGCATTTCCAGTCAGAACCTCATCAGATCTCATCAGCCAAATTAGAAGTCTGATTTTCTTCACACTTCTCAATGCAGATCGTGTGGAGTGTGGAACTGATTTCAGGAGCTCATCAAGTTACGATGCCCAGGAGAAGGAGACGAATGAGCCTTCAGAGGTGACTCGAGAGGAGGTCACTCAGACCGCCACGGTGTGATTTTTTTCTGAAATGGTCCTGGGTAGCAGGGGATTGAAAGAATCGAGCAGTTAATCGGGATTTCACCGTGATCCAACTGGTCAAAAAGCTCACCTAGGGCCATGCGAAGCGAGAAAATAGCTTCTCCCACCGCCAGAGATCTTTTTCTCGGGGTGGCGCCCAGTAGAGAATGAGAAGTAAGTACGGTATAGCTTATGAATGCTGTTTGTAGCTTTCCTTTCTCTTGTCGGTGCAGGGTGAGTGTCTTGGGAGCCACCCTGGTTTGAGTACGCGAAGGCAGCAAGTTGGGCGACTGCTTGGTGCAGTAGGAAGGTTGGGAACCACAACCGAAATCTGGCGGTTTGTTGGGCCGCCGATTGAGGTGAAGATTGATCTTGGACAAACGGTATTTCTTTCAGATGTTTGTTTTTTCACCATGCCTCCATATTGGGTTTATGTTTCTTGGGGCTCAGCCTTCGGTATCTTTCTAAAAACTGCTTCCAAGCTGCAAGCTGCCCAGCGCAGCTTGAGAGGGTGTCTGCGGAAACAATCTGTTTGTTCTCGCCGGCTCCCGCAAATCTTTAATGGTTTAACGCCTGAAACTGTCTTTTTGCGTCGAAACTCAAACATGTGCCATGCTCGAACGAGCAGCTGCACGATGCACTCCAGCGGAGCATGATCTTCAACATAATTCTGATGCGATCAAGCCTCCTATGTCGCAAGAGGAAAAAGAAAATCAAAGCCTTCGGAGAGATCAGGGAGAAAGCCTTGGGAGATGGCAGAGTTGGAGCGGCGGCATTTGCTTTAGTTCAAGCATTCAAGGATCTGCCATGTGCGATCGTCTAAGTCGATTCTGTTCCAATTTGTTGGTGGACTAAAGCATCTAAAGCACCAACATGAGGGTTTGTAGAGCGCCAGTGGTACTCAAAGCATGCAAAGCAGTTGCAGTGAACGGTCCGGTTCCAGCATTTGGCTCTCAGCTCATCTCTGGATTCCCCAACCTCCGCTTTCGAAGCTGTGGGGAGCAATGCTGCGCTTGGCAGTG